AGACGCAAACGCGTATATGTGAACCTGTGCTGCGCTCTAGGCGCATCTGCTAGCAGAAAACGAGCTCTGCGAGACAACCGTCGCTATCTTCTGCAACGGCAGCCCATCGGGATGGGACAGCGCAGGCACACGTGCCGCGCGCGATGCCTTCTGGCACGCACCCCTACAGCGCGACACGCTGGCTGGTGCCCCCCTCCGACAGAGCAGCTGCCACATGACTCTCGCTGGAGCCCTCCCCTGGGGCCTGGGGGACACGAGGGGGACATGGGCTCCAGGGGGGGGGCCCAGGGGGAGTGGGGAGGGGGGAGCGGCGAGGACTGAGCTGGAGGAGGGCCTGGCGCCCAGGGAGGGAGGGAGGGGAGGCAGGAGGCACAGCAACACGGAGCAGGATGAGCGCATCCAGCTGCCGCGCGCGCGTGCAGAAACGAGGACATCGTGTGGATCGCTCCGTGCTGTGCGAAACCTGGGTAGGATCTGCGTGCCGTGCGCGGCGTGGCCTCCCGAGCGCTGCCGCTGCCGAGCTCCGCCGCTGCAGTGCCGCCGCCGAGCTCCGCGCTCCTCTTCGCCCTCCACCTCGACTCTCTGTCTTCGCCCTCCCCCTCGCCCTCCTCCTCCTCCTCCTCCTCCCCCTCCTGCTCCTCCTCCTCCTCCTCCTCCCCCTCCTCCTCCTCCTCCTCCTCCTCCTCCTCCTCCTCCTCCTCCTCCTCCTCCTCCCCTCCTGCTCCTCCTCCTCCTCCTCCTCCTCCTCCTCCTCCTCCTCCTCCTCCTCCTCCTGCTCCTCCTCCCCCTCGAACCCCAGCGCTCCCCGGGGGAAGGTCTCCTGCGGCTCGCCCACGGTCTCGAGCCCGTCCTCCGCGCCCGGCGCGGCTCCCGCGGCTCCCGCGGCTTCCGCGGGCGCCCCGCCCTCCCCGAGGGGGGGGGGGGGCGCTTCCCCCCCCCCCCCCCCCCCAAGGGGGGGATCGAGGAGAGGACCATGTTGTGTTCAGTGGGGCGTGTCCCCCTGCAGGGGGATCTTCGACGAACAACTCCAAATACTTAAAACATGTTCAAACGATGCCCCGAAGTGCTCAAAAAATATTCCCCAGACTATTGTTCGACTATTTTTGGATATTCCCCCTGTAGAGGGACAGGCCCGACTTAAATCTTGTGTGCTTTACCCAGGAGGGCGCCGAACATCGAGGAGAGCACCTCCTGCTCCTGCTAAGGCCTCCCTTCGTCGTCGCCTAGGTCCCCCCCTCCGCCCAGAGGGTCGAGAGGAGACTGGCCTTTTCCAGACCGACCGGCGTTTTCGCAGCAAGCGGCCAGCCCTCCCCAAGCCGACTGGCCTCTTCCAAACGCGAATAGTTAATGGTGGTTGTGAAAGGTCGCTTTGCTGAAACTAGACGGGGGGAACAAGGACGAGGAGGAGGGGAATCGAGGAGGCGGAGGAGGAGGAGGAGGAGAAAGAAGGAGGAGGAGGGGGAGGTAGGGGAGGATGAGGAAGAGGAGGAGGAGGGGGAGGTGGAGGAGGTTGAGGAAGAGGAGGAGGAGGAGGAAACGAAGGAGGAGGAGGAGGAAAATAAGAAGAGACGGAGGAAGGAGGGAGGAGAGGAGGAGGAGGAAGAGGAGGAGGAGGAGGAGGAGGAGGAGGGAGGAGGAGGAGGAGGAGGAGGAGGAGGAGGAGGAGGAGGAGGAGGAGGGCGCAAAATACCGAGGAGGCAGGAGCGAATGACCTTTCCCACTGGCCTTTTCGCGGCACACGACCAACCTTACCCTAACCGACCCGTTGGCTTGCGGAGAGACGCCCGACCCGTGTCCCCCCCAGGGGGCTGACGAGAGGATCCGTCTTGCTTTGCCGAAGAGGGCGCTTAGGATCGGACCCAGGACAGAGCATAGGATTTGTCCCGACCGTCCTGTGGTGATGGGGTCTTCGTTTTGGGCATCGCCCCGCGTCTCCCCTCCTCTCCTCTCCACTTCCCTTCTCCCCATCCATGCCCCTGCCCTCCGCGTGCGCATTTCGGCACACCACCGAGCCTTCCAGGAAGGTTTTTTTTTGTGTGTGGTCCTCTGCAGCCCTCATACGTCTCGTGGCCCCATAAGGAGCTCCACCGAAGCCATCAGTAGGGGGTTTTGCATGTGGGTCTCCACAACCCTCACGCTTTCGGTGGCCCCACAGGGAGCTCCACCGAAGCCCCCAGGAGGGAGTTTCGCATGCGGTTCTCAACGTCCCTCATACCTTTCGTGGCTCGAAACGGAGCTCCACAGAAGGCCCCAGGAGGGGTTTGGCACGTGGTTCTCCACACCTCTCACACATTTCGTGGCCCCATAGAGAGCTCCACCGAAGCCCCCAGAAGGGTTTTTTCTATGTGGCTCTTCACACCTCTCACACGTTTCGTGGCCCGATAGGGAGCTCCACCGAAGCCCCCACAGATGAAGTATGCGAGTTTGGGTACCGATGCGTCCCTCTGAGAGCCCGGCTTCCATGTCGGTAGCGGCTACCAGAACGAACTCTGAATGCGCCGGCCTAACGGGCCAGACGCGTGCTACGATTTCGGGTAACTGGCTCACAGAGTATATCTATGCATCAAAATATATGAATACGCGCTAGAATCGTCGCGCGCGCTTCGCGCGCGCTCAGGTTCTAGCCCAGGCCAGGGGGGGCGCTGGATGATCTTGGACAGAGCTATCAAGCACAGGCGCGTGACATAGTCGTGCCTCCCGGGGAACCTCTTGGGTCTTCGTGGGGGCATCTGAAGGGCTTCCGGGGGGTTCTACGTGCTTCCTCAATTGGCTGTTGGAAGCACATCTTGGGTGCTTCTCTGGGGGGGGGTCGTCTTGGGGCTTCTTGGTTCTCCGGGCAATCGGGGTGATGTTCTGCAATCTGAAGCCAATATTGGCCGTCTTGGCTGCAGAGAAACCCGACTTGAGGCCACCTGGGGCCACATTGAAGCTCGACTTGAGGCCATCCGGAAGCCTCCCGGGGCCTCCTGGAGGCAATTTTGATGCATCGAGGGAATTGTTCAGCTACCTTGGGACCCCTTGTACGTCTCCTGGGTGCCTTTTAATGGGCTCGTGGGAAGCTTTTGGGGGCCTCGTCGGAACTCTTGTGGACTCTTGGGGCCTCTTAGGGCGGAAGGCTCTGCTCTTGGGTTCGCGTTCTCCTTCTTGGGACTCCTGGGCGTTCCCGGAGCTTCCCCAAGGCACCCGAAGTCTTCCCAAAGCGCTCCCGTGCGCTTCCAGGGCATCCCACCGTCTTGGGGCCCTCTCAGGCCGTCTTGGGCGCCTCAGGCACCGTCTTGGGGCCCTCGTGGGCCGTCTTGGGGCCCTCTTCGGCTATCTTGGAGCGGTCTTTGGGGCCACTTGGGCCGTCTTGGAGCGTCAAGATGCCCAAAGGCAGAAAACTTTAATCCTTCGAAAAACGATGGGCCAATAATCATTTTTGCCTCTTGGGGCCTTCTTGGGAGACCTCTTGGAACCTCTTCGGCCCTCTGGGGAGCTTCTTGAGAGGCTCTTGAATCCTATTATTGGGGACCTCATGGGGCTTCCTGAGAGCCTCTCGGGGTGGAAGGCTCGGATTTTCGATTCGTCTTGCCCCTATTGGCTCCCTCTTTGTTTTTTTTTTTTTTTTTTTTTTTTTTTTTTTTTTTTTTTTTTTTTTTTTTTTTTTTTTTTTTTTTTTTTTTTTTTTTTTTTTTTTTTTTTGTTGTTTTTTTGTTTTAAGCTGAAACGATTGGACCGATTCTCGCCCGCGCAAGGCGGCACTGACTCCAGAATCGACACGCTCAATGCTTTCAAGAACGGGGAGATGGCATTTCATAGAACACGGCGCACAACAGAAAACTGGCATCACGAAATGATGTGGGTCCAACCGCTCGCCTCCAGATTGCTTGTTAGCGAGATCCCAGCAGTGCTGAATATTATGAAGGTAGCTGGCCATTGAAAACCAAAGTCTTGAAGCCTGTCGTGGGCAATGTTCTTTGCTGTTGCGGCAGCATGCATGGATGAGCAGGACGAACACCACTTTGAATGCTGTGCCGGTGCCGCGTAGGTGCCGCGTAATCATTTCGGTCGCCCTCAATGGGAGCAGCGACAACGGAGGGGAAATGGGTGGAACAATGGGGAGCGAGGGATAAATCCGCCGACCCCAGAGGCGTGTGCGATATCCTTCTGAGCTGGATACCACACCCGACAATTTTTCGCCCCAAACCGCCCCGCCGTCGACCTGATCCGACACCCCCACCTCCACGCCCCCCACCCGGCCCCTGCCTCGTCTGGCATTCTCACCCCGAGAGAACTACCTTCTTGGGACCCCCCACTCGACAAATTCTGGCCCAGAACCTGCCCACGCCCCCCACCTGGCTGCTCTGGCATTCCCACCCCTGAACTCTGTTCTTGGGACCCCCCACTCGACAAATTCTTCCCACCCCGTCTGGAGAACTCTGTTCTTGGGACCCCCCACTCGACAAATTCTGGCCCAAAACCTACCCACGCGCCCCACCTGGCCCCTCCCTCGTCTGGCATTCTCACCCCGGGAGCACTCTGTTCTTGGGCCTCCCCCGCTCGACAACTTCTGGCCCAAAACCTACCCACGCCCCCCACCTGCCCCTCCCTCGTCTGGCATTCTCACCCCGAGAGCACTCTGTTCTTGGGGCACCCCGCTCGACAAATTCTGGCCCAAAACCCTACAACCACACCCCCCACCTGGCCCCTCCCGCGTCTGGCATTACTCGAAACCCTTTTATTGTGCCCCCGTACTCGACAAATGCTGGCCCAAACATACCCCGGGCTCCCCACCTGGCCTGGCCCCTCCCTCGTCTGGCATTCCCACACCCGAGAGCACTCTTGGTCTTGGGCGACCCCACTCGACAAAATTC